TACCAGTAGGACTATGAGCTAAGAGCCTGACTGGCATTTATGACTGATAATGTTTCAGGTTGGTTGAATTCAACAAACTTTGTAAAAATGGACAGTGACATTGTATAGAAATTGCCAAAATGATGAGCTCTGTACTTGGCTGTTCTGTCTTGTATGCTGGCGCTCTCCAAAGCGGTCTGTGATAGGCCTGTGCCTAAATTCCCTGCCCCCCTTGATGTGCAGTGTAACGAGTTGAGCGAAGTCCTCTGAGGTCATGTATGAGGAGGAAGGCAGGAAACTTCAATAAGGTGTGGATGGAGGGCTTGCCTGACCGCTGGCTTTGCCAATAGTTTAACCATGCAGCTCCCACACCTCTCTCTTCCTCCTGGGGATTCCACTCGCATTGGTCCTTGTGGGCTTTCTTGCTTATATCTTCTTGGCTCCCATAGCGGGGGTTGTGTTCAGCTCTTGGGAGTTGGAAGTAGTGGGTATGGCTCATTCAAACTGCTGCTTTGCATTGAGAGAAAGTGGTGACGGGACTGGACATGAACACTTTCCGTGGAAGGTGGGTAAGGGACTGTTTAGTCTCTGGGTGGGGATGTGATAAAGTTCAGTGACTTGATCTGTGTGCTTTAGGGTCTTTGTCATTAGTAGAATTCAGTAAAGGAGGCCATGGTTTTTGTTGCTCTTGTCAGGGATGATGATCCAAGGGGTGTAAAGCCAAGGCAAATTCATACTGGTAAGGGATAGTGGGACTTAACTGGTGGTGTATAAATACCTGAACTCCTGCATCCATGGGATTGAGAATGCCAGAAGCCATATATCCATGGATGCTAAGGGCTGAATTTGCTTCTGAAGAAACTGTCCCATAAGCTTTTCTCCTGTTTACAAATAGAAGTAATTCAAAAGACATCTGGTTATGGAGAACAGGAAATGAAATCATTTAACATCTTCTGGTGGTGTGTGAAGATGAAACAGTAGAAATCTCTAAAATAAGCCCTCTGCTTTGTATCTCGGAACTTGTGTGGCGGAAGGATGAACATTGAAACTCCATAGGTGTAAGATAATATCCGTATGCCAAAAAGTCTTTCTGGTTGTGTTCCCTAAAACAGAAAAGGCCTGTTATAAAAGAGCTATTTGGGAGTTCTGTTTGTAACCCAGCTTGATATGGCCAATTTTCCCACTAAGTAGATGCTTAGAAATCATGAGTTACTGTTTAGCCTAGATCATGTCAGGATGAATTATGACGATGTGATTTAAAAACCAAACCGAAACAAACACCAAAAAACCCCCGAAAACAACAACAAAACCCAAACAAACAAAACCCCCAAACTATGTTACAGTTTATGTAGAAATAGTTACTTTTTGTCTTTCCCTCTTACCTGTTTTATCTTCTTAATCTTGCTCAGAATAATCCTGGCCAGGCACCTCCGACTTTGAAGAAGATGATTCAGATGGCAGGAGAGATTGCTGATGGGATGGCATACCTCAACGCCAACAAATTTGTTCACAGAGACCTTGCTGCGAGAAACTGCATGGTGGCAGAAGACTTCACAGTGAAAATTGGAGGTGCGCTTCCATGACACTTACACAAATGAAAAACATCATCTTGAAAAATCAGCATCTTAGAAGGCATTTGAGTTTTTTGAAAGCTGTGTGAAAGACCTTTTAAAACTTAGCTCTAGTTTAAATTTCTGCAGGATGAAATATGTTCCTCGTGAAGGCTTGCTGTGATTTAAGAGCTGTGAGCAGTCAACATGGAGTTGAAACTCTTGGAATACCTCTACTCGCTGTTGTTCCAGTGAGGAAATAGTGTAGCATGTGGGTTTCAAAAGAGCTAGCGAGGCAGCGATTTGAGGTGCAGATGCTGCAGACATCTGGGCGGGTGGCGTAGTTACCGCTGGCGCGTCACTGGCTTTTCTGTTAATGCGCAAAAATAATTCCACCTCCTGTTTATTGATTCAAGAATGAGAATTTTAGGATTATTTTAAAACCTATCTGATTTGGAAGTGGAATGTAAGGCTTGACTTCAGCTGGGTGCTTTCCAGTCTGAACTGGAGTTCTGCTTTCCAGACAACAGAATGGCTTTTCTTCTGCTCTGCTGTTAGAACATGGCTTTTTTTTTTTTTTTTTTCCCTTCACCACCCCTCCAAAATAGTGTCAGATGAGTTTTTTCAGACTTCTCTCCAGAGAGAGTGATTTTAAGCTTTTGGCTGTTTTTGAGTTGCGCATATTAAAATAACATGTGTAGCAACAGCTTTCTGCTGTAGGAAACCGATTCTTTTTCTCCGACCTTAACTCAGCTATTTTGATAATTTGTGTAAGTAATCCTGTCGTTTGGGAGAAAGAAAAAATGATTTCATTTTGAGTCAGTTAATTAGGAAATAAGACCTTTGGGGAATTTTGTGCATTTTTTTTTTTCAGGTTTGAGAGAAATCAGCCTGAATCCTTTTCACTCCGATTTTCTCACTCTTCCCCCCCACCAGCATGTTTTACAATTCTTTGAACTGAAGCTGGTGCATTTCTTCCCATTAATGTGGTACATGGTTACCCTGAAAGCATTTTGTGAAATGTGCAGCACTGCTCTTATTTGTGTACCAGTATTGAAAATCCCTTCATGTAGAAACAGTTTGGGAGGATCTTGACTGGAACACGCCAACTCAGACGGTTTAGATCTCAGAGGAGGAGCTTTATGCTACACTATCCCATGCTTGTTGCATATCGGTTTCTTATTTGCATTACATTTTAAAAGAATTTTCCAGTCAGCCAGGATAAAGTCACCTTGGTGTGTGGGAGTGATGGAGTAGCTGCACAGATGGCCTTTTTAGTCATGATCACCGAGGGTACCAGTGTCCCTAGCAGACAAGGAACAAGAAGGATCAGTGGTCAGTCACTCGTCAAGCCTGGTAATGATGACATCCATAGACTGTGAGAACAACTGAGAACTGGAGGAATTCTGTCCTCTTATCACTCCAGTTTTCCCAGGGAAAAAAGGGGCAGCTACAGGTCTGTATCGATAAAATGGATTTTGCCCTAGGTCTGCTGGGTTAGCAGACAGCATTTAGTATCAGTAAGAGATTTGTTGTCACCTGATTTTGTAACTTTTTTGTTAGTGTCTGAAAATGTCATAACCGGTTTAAATAGGCTGGTCCAAGACCCAGCAGTTTTTTGTGCATCAAGCTGATTGTACAGAAAAAAATGCAGAAATTAGTCTGAGTTACAGTCAGGAGATGAGCGTTGTTACATCCAAGTCTTGCAAAAACTTCCGTGTTTACAGATAAGGACATGCGTATGACCCAAAGTATGTCTTTAATACTGGTCTGTGTTAGTCACAAATGAATAGCCTAATCCTCTGTAGCATTTGAGATGGAATATTATACAGGAGAGGGGAAGAAAAAAGAAGCATTTCCCTCAACATGTGAGATTCTTGAGTTAAAGACAGTGGTATTAAGTACTAAAGGAGATCTTTACACTCTTTAGATTAAAAAGAAAATAAAATGAGTGAATTCAGAGAATAGATTAGTGAATTATATGACCTTCAGAAGAGCTAGCTTACTGCAATGCTTGAGCATAAATCCCAGAACTTCTCATATTAATATATTTAAATCATTCAGACTTCTCACACACTGAAGTCAATGGTAAAAAGATCTGTTGGTTTTGTTGAGGGGGGGAGCTTACCAGCCCTAAAGCAGCAGGTAAAGTGCCTGCAAAGTAACATGTCGTGGTAACAGTTTGCAGATTCTTGGCACCAAGCTGTGATTCTCTACTGGCTACAATGGCTTCTAGTAGGGGGAAATGTTCGTCATTTTATCATGCAAACTCAAAGTGTTTATACCTTCTAGATTTTGGCATGACAAGAGATATCTACGAGACAGATTATTATCGTAAAGGAGGGAAAGGTTTGCTGCCTGTCCGCTGGATGTCCCCAGAATCACTGAAAGATGGAGTCTTCACAACACACTCCGATGTCTGGTAACAAAAAAGGGGCTCTGAAAAACCTGTTTTGGCCCCTCTTCTTTCTAGCCTCTTCTCTTGTTTTAGTAGACTTAACTCAGTATACTG